TTTAAAAAAATTATACTTAAACCTTTAAATTCTACGTAAAAAGGTGCTTTGGAAATGTTTTCATAAAAATAAAAAATTTTCCATAGCAAAAAAGTTACAGCGATTTGTTAAAAATGCACATATCTGAAAAACACCCCGTAACTCCGAAACGGTAACAGATATCGATGTGCGGTTTTCACCATCATATTTTTGATAAAATTGAGCTCCAGACACCGATATTAGTTTTCGTCTATCACCTATAGAAAAGGGCGTTTCCCTTTAAAAGCCTCCAATTTGACCCACCATGTACAGGGACATCATTTTAAGTGTCTCACTCGATTTATAATTTTCCTGTTTGGTATTTAAAAATAGTAGAAAGATTTCCTAATGTAATTTTTCGCGAGGATGCCGATTCTCTACACCAACATTTTTTAAAACGTCAATTTTGACAGATACGACGCCATCTTGATTTTTTTTAAATGGAAACCCCCACATATTTTAGCATGGTCCGGTAGACATATTTTAGCTAATTTCAAAAATATATAGTTTAGTATACTTTGCACTTACCGTTTTCGATATACAGTGGCTTAAAAAATGAATTGTTCCAGAATCATTTTAAGTGTCTCACCCAATTTAAAATTTTCCTCTTCTCTATTTTAAGATAGTAAAAAGATATTTCAATGTAATTTTTCGCGAGGATGCCGATTTTCTACATTAAAATTTTTTACAACGTCAATTTTGACAGATACGACGCCATCTTGATTTTTTTTAAATGGAAACCCCCACATATTTTAGCATGGTCCGGTAGACATATTTAGCTAATTTCAAAAATATATAGTTTAGTATACTTTGCACTTACCGTTTTCGATATACAGTGGATTTAAAAATGAATTGTTCCAGAATCATTTTAAGTGTCTCACCCAATTTAAAATTTTCCTTTTCTATTTTAAGATAGTAAAAAGATATTTTAATGTAATTTTTCGCGAGGATGCCGATTTTCTACATTAAAATTTTTTACAACGTCAATTTTGACAGATACGACGCCATCTTTTTTATTTTTTAAATGAAAACCCCATCAAATCTTAACACCGCCCGGTAGACAAACTTTAGCGAATTTCAAAAATATATAGTTTAGTATACTTTGCACTTACCGTTTTCGATATACAGTGGATTAAAAAATGAATTGTTCCAGAATCATTTTAAGTGTCTCACCCAATTTAAAATTTTCCTCTTTTCTATTTTAAGATAGTAAAAAGATATTTTAATGTAATTTTTCGCGAGGATGCCGATTTTCTACATTAAAATTTTTTACAACGTCAATTTTGACAGATACGACGCCATCTTGATTTTTTTTTAAATGGAAACCACATCAAATTTTAACACCGCCCGGTAGACAAATTTTAGCTAATTTCAAAAATATATAGTTAGTATACTTTGCATTTACCGTTTTCTATATACAGGGGGTTGAAATCAAGAATTCCTCTAATTTTTATGTATTTGAATATGAATGCCATTCACTTACAACCGAGTGGCATTTGTATCCAAATGCATGAAATTTACGTAAATTGAGCTATCTTATGATAAATGAGCAATTTAAAACTAAATTTTCATTTTTTTTATATACAGGGTGGTCCGAACTGTATTCCGGAAACTTCGGCAGCATACTCTGCAGATAAAAATAAGTAAAAAAGTTCGTATAAATATATGTGCTACAATACTTAGTTTCGGAGATACAGGGTGTATTCTATATATATATATATATGTATTGTATTATTATATACAGGTATTTCGATTTTTTCCAAATAATTTCTGAAGTAACGTCAATTTTTGGCTGAAAATTCGTGTTTGGGAGTTTTTTGACATGAGAAACTTGATTTTGATGTCAATATGACTCTTATTTGTACGGGGCGCCACCTACATGTGTTTTAACTGTTTTGAGAAGTAATAACTTTTCGCCCATACCTGTACTGAGTGAAAAAATATACATTTTCTTGACTTTTTACGTAAAAAATGTCTCTTGGTAAAAATCGCTACGAGCAACCTTTCTCAAGATGTTTCGAATGGAAATAGTCACTACATGTCATTATTGACAAAAAAATAAACACGTTGAGTAGATAGATATTTGGCTGAAATAATAAATGTGGGAAATTTTTATTTTTTTAAATTAATTATAAATTTTTCTGCGGAAAAATGATGATAAAACAGTTTCTGTTGAACTTTTGGCAAAAAAACATTTCAGATTTATGATTTCAGTCTAGTAACTATTTAGTCCACATGTTTAATTTATGTTAATGATGACAGGTATTGATAATTTCCATTCCCAATACCTCGAGAACCATTACTCGTAACAATTTTTACCAACAGATCTTTTTTACGTAAAAATTGTTATAAATGAATATTTTTTCACTCAGTAGTTTTATAGTACGTATACTCAAACGTACGGACGAAAAGTTATTACTCTTCAATACAGTTAAAACACGTGTATGTGGCGCCCCCTAGAAATTAGATTTATATTGACATCAAAATCAAATTTCTCATATCAAAAATCTCCCAGACATCAATTTTCATCAAAGTATTAACGTTAGTTCACAAATTATTTGGAAAAAATCGAAATAAAAATGATACTTCTACACCCTGTATCTCCGAAACTAAGCATGTTAGAACATTTATACGAACTTTTTTACTTATTTCTTATTTTTATCTGCAAAATATGCTGCCAAAGTTTTCGGAATCACCCCGTATGTAAAGGTCATATTTAAGAAGAATCAAAGTATAAATAAATAAAAAAAATTAAGCGTCGTAATTGTCAAATTTGACATTTTCAAGAATTTTAAAATTCGAAAATTGTAAACTGGATGAGTCACTTAAAATAATTCTAAAGATTTAATTTTTAAATGCACTGTATATCGAAAACGGTAAGTGCAAAGTATACTTTACTATTTTTGAAATTAGCTAAAATATGTCTACCGGACCATGCTAAAATATGTGGGGGTTTCCATTTAAAAAAAATCAAGATGGCGTCGTATCTGTCAAAATTGACGTTGTAAAAAATGTTAATGTAGAAAATCAGCATCCTCACGAAAAATTACATTAAAATATCTTTTTACTATCTTAAAATAGAAAAGAGGAAAATTTTAAATTAGGTGAGACACTTAAAATGATTCTGGAACAATTCATTTTTAAATCCACTGTATATCGAAAACGGTAAGTGCAAAGTATACTAAACTATATATTTTTGAAATTAGCTAAAATATGTCTACCGGACCATGCTAAAATATGTGGGGGTTTCCATTTAAAAAAAATCAAGATGGCGTCGTATCTGTCAAAATTGACGTTGTAAAATATGTTAATGTAGAAAATCAGCATCCTCACGAAAAATTACATTAAAATATCTTTTTACTATCTTAAAATAGAAAAGAGGAAAATTTTAAATTAGGTGAGACACTTAAAATGATTCTGGAACAATTCATTTTAAAATCCACTGTATATCGAAAACGGTAAGTGCAAAGTATACTAAACTATATATTTTTGAAATTAGCTAAAATATGTCTACCGGACCATGCTAAAATATGTGGGGGTTTCCATTTAAAAAAAATCAAGATGGCGCCGTATCTGTCAAAATTGACGTTAATTAAAAATTACATTAGAAAATATTTCTACTATCTTTAAATACCAAACAGGAAAATTATAAATCGAGTGAGACACTTAAAATGATGTCCCTGTACAGTCACCGGCACGAAAAATGGGCACCTTAAAATTTTGATGTATTTTAAATTTTTACATATTGTGTTCTAGTGGACTGAATATGATGATCTTTTAAGCAATTTGTAACTATATTATTTGACTTTTTAGTATCTCTTTCTAAAATAAAAATGAAAATTCACATCTGTCAAGTATACGAGGGAACACAAAATGTTGTTAATCTGGTTAAAGTTCGGAACACTCTGTGGAATATGTTAAAAAAGCAAGGGATTTAAAATTTATTTTATCATCTAGGTGCATCTTTTCTCGACAGTTTATTTTTTGGTTCATCTCAATAGCTTTATTTGTTTTGGAGATATTTCCTTTTGAAGAAGACACTAACATTTTTTCGCAATTTTTACTTTAAAACCATGTCTTTGCTTATAGTCACAGTCAACACAGACTTATGAAATAGTGTTTATGATTTATGTAATGTCACTGTTATTGAAAAATTATGTTATTATTGTCTGTTGGCTGTTGGGCACTTACTCTATCAGAGATGGTTTTAGGTCCAGAAGTTGTATCCGCTATAGTTACTGAGACGCGGTTTAATTGAAGATGATAGAGATCAAAATGATACCGCTAACAAATTTAGGTATGTACGACGTACAGTGCAGTCGCTTCCTCGAGACAAGTTCATATAGACGTCCAGGAACCTGGACGTATAGCATATCTAGAATAGAATCGCTAAAAAACCGCCGTTTGCCAGCTTCTCAGATTTATAAAGAATTGCACCTAAGGAAGTACACGTAATTGAACGGACTGTAAGAAGATTAAACGAAACAAATCTTATGTGAAGAAGGCCTGTTTTGGGACCATTTACTAGGTCTGTTGACTAGGACCAAAAGCAAAAGCATGGCTTTAATGTAAAAATGACGAAAAAATACTAGTGTTTTCTTGAAAAGCGAATATCTCCAACAAAAATAAAGCTATTGAGATGAACCAAGACACAAACTATTGAGAAAGGGTATACCTAGATGATAATATTTTTAAGTTCCTTTCTGCCTTAACATATTCCACATCCCACAGGGTGTGAAACTTTTACCAAAATCTCAACATATTGTTGAGATTTTGGTATTGTTTTCCCTCATATAAACTCTAGCACTAAAAAGAAGACTTAACTTAAAAAACTCTTCTATATGTCATTTTTAATTATCATAAATAGGTTGACTGCTTCAAAATGGTGTAGCAACTATTAATATATTTTTTCTGATATATTTACATCTAGTTATTTTATCCATATCAATATAATAACGTTTTGCTATTTTTATTATTTTTAGATTAACTCCCATTTATGCTTTCGTTATTTTTTACTACGCCACCGTGTTTGATTACACTGGGAACGGTCCACTGTGGAAAATAATTGCAGGAGCAGACTCAAACGATTGCAAACAGAATTGGTGGATTAACTTGTTATATCTTAATAATTACATCAATCCAGACCATATGGTAAGTTACAAGCATATAATTTAAATACCTAAGTTTTCTAAACTCTAAGAGATTCGGCGAAACACTTCAATTTTATTTTCACACTATCCTGACATTCTCTTTAAAAAATACTTGTTTTTCCTATATCCAATCATTCCAATCTATATCTTTCCTTTTCTACAAGCATATAATTTAAATACCTAAGTTTTCTAAACTCTAAGAGATTCGGCGAAACACTTCAATTTTATTTTCACACTATCCTGACATTCTCTTTAAAAAATACTTGTTTTTCCTATATCCAATCATTCCAATCTATATCTTTCCTTTTCTATATCCAGTTTCCAATCCAACTTCTAAAATATATGTTAGGGAAAAGGGTATTTATGATAATAAGCGGTCAATAATGTGAGTACCCAATTTCATTGGATAATATTGTCATTGTGAAGCACACAAAAACTAAACAAACTTAAAAAAATAAATCTGTATAAAGCAAAAGACTAAAACCATGTATAAGTATAAAAATAAAATAAAAACTTAAAAAGAGGACATAACAGATCCAAATTTGTATTATACAAAGGTTGTCAGGATAAAAGATTATGACGAACGTTAAACATTAATATCTAGGCCATTTGTTCTGTCGACTGCTGATGGAGAGGCTGATAGAAAGTCTCTTTTAACACTTTTCACTGAACCCGGACTTTGAAATTTAATTTTAAAATGAAGACATTCAAAGCAATCAGAAAATCATAGTTTGAAACCACAGCAATCAAAACTACAATACAAATACATTAATTTACCGGTAGAGGCTAGATGCTTGAATTACTAACCGGTAAGCACAAAATAATCAAAAACATTACCATATTTATAATCTTTATCAGGATTGCGCGCATTAAAACAGACAATAACGTCAACGCCCGGGCAAAATCGTTAATCAATAGTTTATGCAGCTCATCAATATGTTCCGACTTCTTTAGATTTGCGTTAATGACCAGTCAGTCAATACTGTCCTGGGCCATGTTTACATCTTCGTCCGTAGAGAATGGAGCATAAATGGAAGGGGGGTTAATCACCGCGACCTTAAAGATCTATCTGTGTGTCCTTTCTTGAGTTATAACTTATTATACAGTCTATAACTCATCATACTAATCTATCCTTTTCCAGGATTTTCCTGTTGTAGGGAGGCCGGGGTATTTTCCATCTTCCTCTTAACAGCCGTTCATCCTCCGAGGAGTAGATATCTACCTCCTACGAGAGTACCTGCAACCCTAGCTTGGGGTTTAGCTTTTCGTGCCTTTCACAATCGAGGTACCCTTGAGGTGGAGGCTGGAGGATCATCATCCATTTTCTCCACCTCTTTAACTTGGTCTCTCCTTAAATCTAATATAGTCCCGGATCTATAATAGGGGGTTATACCTTCTCTCTCTCTCTCTCTCTCTCTCTCTCTCTCTCTCTCTCTCTCTCTCTCTCTCTCTCGCCTCCTTTTTTTTCAATAACAAGGCTCTTTTTTTTTCAATAACAATAACTCTGCCGGAAGCACTGCGAACTGTGAGGCCTATTGTCTTTGTCCCCTTTCTATATCTGCACCCATTCTCCTATCCCTGTGCCCTGCACTAACTTATGCAGGTCCTTGATAGGATGGGAGCATAGTTCCTTCAGTTCTAGCCTAGCTTTCCCAAATAAAAAGTGCCGCATGCCGCTTGCGATCCAGAGCCTCGCAATGACATATCATATGCTCCGCTGTTTCAGGATCTTTATCGCAGAGTCTGCAGCAAATACTTCCTTGATAAAGGTTGAGCTTGTTCAGGTAACATTTGACAGCCATGTGTCCTTTTAGAGCTAGGTCCTTGGATTGCCTTGCTGTGCCTGTACCCCTGTCTGTTTCTCTAATGGACATTCTGGACATTCAGAGTTTTAGTGCACTACGGGCCATACATTTGGGTATTCCCAGTACTCACTCTGGACCAAGATAGGATGCCGCTGTTCAGAGATCCTTACCTAGCTAGCTCATGGGATTTTTCGTTGCCTTGGATGCCGCTGTGGCCCGGCACATAGAATAATTTAATTCTGTTTCTTCGTGCCAGTCAGTTCAATCAGTTCACCTAGGCATTCCCAGACGAGTCTCGACGATACCTTTGGGCTCATAAGCGCCCCAAGTGCCGCCTGACTGTCTGAGCATATATTGATGAGCTTACCTGAATAAGCTTTTTTATTGTTTTCTCTCGCACATTGTAGAATGGCAAAGATTTCTGTCTGGAATACGGCTGAGTGTTTATCCAAGGAAAATTATTGCCTCCTTGGATTTGAGGTCAATTTCTATTGTGAGGACCTGACCATGGCCCTCCTGCCTCGAGTTGATGACTCGCCAATGTCCTTACATTGGAGTTTTGGCAAAGCTGGTGATACACCGCAAGGGTTGTCTACAGTGGCAAGTTTGTGGCACTTCTACCGAGCTCCGCATGTAGAAGTAAGGCAGACAGTTACAATGAGTTGCTCCCTGGTGTCCCAAGGTTGAGACCAGTAGAGGCTAGTCATCTATATAGCCACGGATCCCTTTGACTTGGTCCTGCCATCGTACGTTTTAGGTTTTTGGTGAGGTTGTCTCCTCTTGGGTCGGCGGTTAAGCCAAGACGCCCGTGATACATGACCACAGACAGTAGAAGAGTGCTTGGTATGACAGGGTAGTCCCATCCGGCATCGTTACACGTCTTGGTGCAATTCCCTGGCTAAACAAGATAATGAAATTCTCCTTAGACCCAGCCAAAATGCCAGAGGGGATTCACCCTAGCATCTGTCTAGAAGCTTCCCCACTAACGACAAGGTCTCGCATCTCCTAGAGGAAGATATTTGTCCGTAACACACAAGGTGTAAATAAATAAGTGCAACAAAATTTAGAATAGATATAATTTTTTTTAATTTTGTGCTTCCATTCAAAGTTATTTGCCTATACAAGGAGGTCTCAATATTACTGAGTTTTATCTCATGGTTCACATTAAAAAGTAGAAATTTGGTCTGTAGATATCACTAATCAAATCAAGAATTATTATTTTGGTATACTACACTCAGATGCAAAAAAACGCAACGGAGAAATTTTGGGTCAAATTTACAGTGTTATATTTTTAGCCCTATTTTCATATATAATTATGTCAATTTTAATTCGTAAACTCAGTTTTTTATAAACTTTAGTATTTGGCATATTAAACAGGGTTAATCTAGGGGTTGTTTTTTTTACCTTAACTTTAAAACACCCTGTGCAATAATTTCGTGTGTAAATTTTCCTAAAATATAATTTTACGGTCAGAACCATGTCTCCTGAGCATTTTGTTTTTTGGATCATGCCAGTACATGTCTTCGTTAATTTTTAAGAGCAAAATGAAGTGATCACGATCAATTTGCATTTTTTTCAATTATCATTACATTTTGATGTAGTTTTTTAATATAACGAGATGGTTTTGGTGACTATTGTCGTAACGTCATATTATGTTGCATTGGGTACTCTATACTAAATTAAAAAAAAAACGTTAAAGACTGTAGATACAGTCCTGGTTTTAATAAACATTAATAACGACAACAGAACCAACGATATTAAAGAAAACATCTGTAATACTCAAGTATACAAACAGAAAAAAATTGTAAAAAATACGCTAATACTTTGTATTGCTGCCCTTGGATGCTGTATATGCCTTGTATATGTCCATTCATATTGTCATTGAGGCTGCATATATCATATTGCGTTATGTTTTCTCATTCTTCTTTAAGGACCAAGTGAAGTTTATTTAATGAAGCTGGTACCGCTTCGCGACTTCTAACCCTTCTGCCAAGCATTTCCCAAACGTCGAACATGATGGGCAGTTCATAGTAGTATATAATTCACAATAATCACCAAAGCAGCCTTGCCATATTAAAGAATAACTTCAAAAAGAAATGATAATTGAAAAAATTGTAAATTGTTGGTGGCAAACTCATTTTGCTCTGAAAAATTAACGAAGGCATATATTGACATGATCCAAAAAACAAAATGCTCAGGAGACATGGTTCTGACGGTAAAATTAAATTTTAGGAAAATTTACACACGGAATTATTCCACAGGGTGTTTTAAAATTAGGGTAAAAAAGCAACCCCTCGATTAACCCTGTATAACATGCCAAATACCAAAGTTGATAAGAAACTGAGTTTACGAATTAAAGTTGACATAATTATATACAATTTGCTAAAAAATGTATTAAAATAGGTCTAAAAATAACAAAAATATAACACTTTAAATTTCACCAAAAATTTCTCCGTTGCGTTTTTTTGCATCTGAGTGTATATACAGAATTTTCAACCAGCAACACCGCTTGCAATATTTTACAATTTTTTTTTATAAATCTTCGAGTTTTGAAATAAATATATTTCTTACAAGTTTTTAACTTATATAAGGCTTATATCTAAAACTTGTATGACATTAAACTTAAAAAATGTAATCTGCATCAGCTTGTTGTGCGCTACTAATTGCAAATGAAGTGCTGAATCATTTTCCAACAAATACACTTGCATAAACTTTATTTTCGTATCCTTGAAATTAGAGACAACGAAGAAAAAATCTTTGAAATCGATTTTTCTTTCACTTTCTGTCAAGAGTGCAACTGCAGCTGTTGCATGTTTCTACGCTATTTGGATTTGCCTGATTTGCTTATATTTGCATGAGATATAGACAATTTGAAAAATAAGATTTAAATTAGAATAAAATAAGAACGCGATACATATTATAAACAAATTGATGATGCAACTATTGATTTTCAAATGATGTTGAAAAATCAAATTTTGTCATATACATACCACTTTTGTTCTTAAATTTATTATTTTAGAAAACAAAGAAATTTTTGTAAATCTTTCTCCATTCGCACAAATACCAAAAATACTTTTTAATGTCCTATCATTGGGTAAAAAAGTGAAAATTAGGAAGAAGTTCAACTGTAAAGTTGTTAGGAACGATGAAATGTTGCACAGCACAAGCTTTGACAGAATATCTGTTTTTAAATCTC